CAACCACAAGGCAATAAGATGGATTAGAAATCTAATAAAAATAATAATCCTGGTTCAACGAATCGCCAAATTTTCAAAGGATATAGCGCACTTCTTAGTACGCTATGGGAGTATTTTTGTTCCGAAAATTGCTTGAAATATAACCGTACTGATAAACAATATAAACAGTGGTGTGATGGAGGTGAATAACTGACTGAATATCGGATGCTGCGCCCGAACATACAAACGTGGGTGCCAAATTACAGCGCCTGCATGACCGCACCCGGCATACGGTGCCATTAAACACACTATTTCATTTTGGGCAGCTGAATCGGATGATCTAAGTACTTTCTTCTGCAAATACTGCTCTGATATTGACTATGTACATATGAGTGTGGAGGTGTGCTTACAGAAGGGGACCCGGAGGTAAGGGGAAAATTCTCCGTTCGAATCTATCACGGAGGATACAATGCACTTTGACTGATGTAAAGTCCATATCACCAAAAGCACAAAGTGCTGCAAACTGTAGACAATAAACCCATTTAGATCGAATACACTGCGATGTGGATGGACCACAAAAGAGGGTTGTCACTTTCCGGTCGAAAACCCTCAGAGGGGGGAGAGGCAGTGATGCGGGAAAGATGAAAATCCCATTTCCAAAGACTTCAAGCATTTGCGAATCTGCAGTTGATTCGCTTTGGTATGGCAAACATGCGTACACATTTCCAGACGAAACCTTAATGATAGACACGTTAGATGAGACAGACGTGGTGAGAGTTGATGGGCAGTAAGTATTGTTCTGTCTTGGAATTTCTGTGAATGACTAACTACGCGAAGTTCTGGTCAAACCCGGTTATTTGAAAAACGTGCAGTGGACCTGAGCGAGTTGTTACGGTGAAATAATGCTACTGTGTAGCAGACCGTTCGAGACCATGAACCATGGTAGACACCAAGTGATTGTGCCCACGAACCGCTGGACTTTCACACATTACTCATCGAAAGGGGGACAGGGGAGAAGAAAGGTCAGCGTGAACAGTACAATAAACTGTTTAAAACTTCGCGAGTGGAGTAGTCGGTCATGCAAAAAAATTGAAAATAGTAAGATCGGTTATTAGGTTGTTCCACTACAGCGGTCTACAGAATTTAAATCAGACGGGTCTGTATACAATTGGAAAAACTGCGATTTTGTAGATTTTATTTTATTGCAAGACAACACCAAATATTAGATTCAACACTACTGGAAATGTAATCATTACTACAAATAGTTACTGATATTAATTTCTGAAATTGGAATTACAAACCACATAAAATTGAAACCTGATGACTACATGATTATCTTGCAAGAAGAATTCAAAGCGTGCATAAATAAGAGACACTGATCGAGCTGTGAATCTTTGGTTCGCAACACACAATAGTCAGTAAGGCACTAGCTCGAATCGAAACAGCAAGAGGAACGTTTGTATAAGAAAAAGACATTATGGGCGCACAGCGAGATCAGTCTGCTTTTGGTGCTCCATTGCCCGTGTTTATAGTGACTGGACTGATCAGATTTACAACGAAATCAGACGACAGTACTTAACCATAGAAATGGCTTCAACGTTATTGCCTTCATTTGTTCACTTCATCCGGCAGGGCCCAACTGTCTGTGCTCAAACTGAGGCTGTAGGTGAGGGCTTGGAGGATAGCATAAGAATATTCGTGAACATTGAAGTCAAACATGGAACACACAGATCAATAAACGATCAATGAATTCCAGCTTTGGAACGATGGATAGATTGAGGTCTGCAATGACTTCACAACCAAAGGTCGCGCATGGAAAGCTGCTATCCCAGAAAAACAGAGAAGCAACTAATTCTTGAGAAAACTACTGTGCGCAAGTAAAGTGGCGCAGACTCTGGTTATAGACAACGGAANTAAGCAGTGATGTTCATGCAGCTAGTCACTTTCTATGTGCATTCAATTTGTCGGCATTCTTTATCTTTACCTTGGTACTATTGACTGCTTCATACTTCGAACATTTATTTCTGCATCATTATACAGAGAAATGCGCACCGACGAGTGGAATTCCAAGGGTATATATCCAGTAAAGTGAAGTGGGCACGCATCTGTTTTATCATTCAATTGAATAACACACTTGTCTTATGTGGTTCATTACTACAAATTTGAGGGCCTCGTGTAGCGCCTACCATGCCCCAACAATCATTTCGTGTCACCGTACGGTGTATTTCATTCAGTGTTTAAACTATCAGGATGAATAACAAATAGAGGAAAAACCAACCTATGGGGAGAAGCTCTGAGCGACAAGCAATGCTTAGCTAATATTTCTTGGGAGTGTTTTCCATTGACGATGATCACAAGTTGTAAGTTGATGAGTGTTGCGACTGTCATCTGGACTTAAATCGTAATTGTGGTTTCTCTGATTGTTCAATAACCTCGTTACCGGTAAGCTGAATGAGGCAAAGGTTTTCTTGATATACCGATGAGGTAATGCATATCCGTTTGGATGCTCCATTATTGTTATTATTATTGTTGAATGATCAAATTGTTATCATGCAAAGTGAGACAATGGAATAAGTAATGAATCATTCGCATGACGAATTTGAACAGAGAATAGGATGAAAAAGAGGGGAATAAACAGTTGCTTAGAGCTAGTCTCAAGCAATTTACTGGTACTCTCTGGGATGCCTAATCACTGGTATTGCGGAGACAAAAATGTGGTAAAAAAATTGGATGAAACGGCGCGGAGGATCCAGTAGAAAGTTTTCTTCTACAGAAGAACACGAATCGAATTGTTTTTGCTGGGAAAAGTGAAGTAATGCACAATTCAATTGATTGCTGGTCATACCATGTTCTGTCAAATAATCCTTTTTCCAGCAGAAACGATGAGGTGAATCACATGAAAAGTCGTGTTTGTGAAAAATGGATGCCAATATTACATTCGTCCTCGTTCCCTTAAAATTATTCACCATCATTACTAAACAGCGGAATACAGTGAAGCGAACTTCACCGATCGCTGTTAAACTCATCATGCATCCAAGGTGAGTGGGAATGTCTAAACGTGAACAAGGATTAGGTCTGGTTTGCGGGATGGAGGAGGAAAATAAACCTCTGTGGCCAACAAACACAGTCCAAATGTGCATAAGTACTATTTTAAGCATTCTGATCTGATAAGAAGTGACAACAAGAACGCCACTGTTGTCGGTTTGCTGTCATGACCTGCAGTGTCTCCAACCATTCAGTTAAGTAATCTTTTGACCACAAACAGGAAGACGGAAAACACCTCTACCTAATTGCCCCGTGCATGCTTTGCCTCTACGTCACCTGTGGATCTCCGCGTGGTTTTCTCCAGTCTGAAGCAGACACTGTAAATAAGGCAGTGTGGCAGGCTACCGTTAGACATACGCAAAACGTGTCATAACCAGCGAAGCTTACTGAGCTGAATTCGAAGCGATAGTAACTTCTCCCGCGATACCTTCCCAAACGCCCGACGACTTACATCTAAGTTATAATCCACTCATTCCACTTAGACTAGACTAGACTGCGTAAGCATCCATGGTAGAGAACCTCCAGGCGATGGATGTCTTCCAAACGTAAATCTAAGGTATCAAAACCGTGAAGCGGAACTAATTGTACAGCGGCGCAGGAAACGCAACTTCACAACTTCAGTGAAACGTCACGTCGTTTCCACAGGTGCTTCCGTCCTGCGCAAGCTCCTCGGGCCTTAGAAATGCGGGTCGTTATCCCCTTTAAAGGAAAACCGACATTGGTTACGCAACTGCTTTGTTCCGGGACCAAGAACCATATCAAGAATAGCCCAACGTCGACAACTAGTCACACTACCCAGCCGTTCAACACGACTGACAACGATCCAGTCAAACAATCACCAGGTAGCCTTTGTATGGCCGCGGCCCCTCTTCCTGAATGTTGACTGTACATTTATATATTCAATAAACAAAAAGGAAGTAAAAAGACATTTTATATGAATTTAATATGAATGTTTCAGTCTTCTTTTCTTGCTTCCGACAGGAGTGTCATAATAGTAGCTTCAATTAGTATTGTATACACTGACGGAAGTATAAGTAATGTACGAAACTTTGCCTTGTGTATGCTCATATTTTGATTTTAAAAAATTGAAATAAAGCAAAATTCTCTTACATGACTAACAGTATTATTATTTCAGAGTGGTGTTTATCAAACATCAACGATTAAAATGAAGCCTATCCATCATCTTCATCATCAGGCAAAGAAAGTGAACATCTGTGGTCAACACACGGAGTACACAATCGAAATGTGCATACATACCGTTTCAATGATTCTGACGCGATTAGAACTGACAACAAGAACGCCACTGCTGTCGGTAAGTCGCCATTATCCTTCCGTGTCTCCAACAAAACAGTTACAGATTCTTTTGGACCCCAACCTCGAAAACGGGTGACACCTATTCTACCTAATCGCTCTGTGCATTTATTCAAGCCTCGTTTCCACGTCTTCTGTTGATCTCCACGTGGTTTCTTCCAACCTAGAGCCGCGAATGCGAATAAGGCGCGGTGCGGTAGACGATGGCTGGGCACACGCAATACGTGCCCTAGCCATACATTGCATCGTTTTCATTTCACATCTCAAACCGTCTGAAATATATCCACAGGTTCAAGAGCAATGCACAAGATCATCCGGGCCTGAGTTCTCTTTATTTTAAGAACAACATAATTCGAAAACTAAATTCCATTTTGTAGTTTCCCTTACGACCTAACAAGGATGATAACTAGGGCGAAAGTATTTTCGTAAGGGCAAAGCTTATCTAAACTCGATGAAAAAGCGACTGCACTCATTGATAAAGATTTGGGTCCAAGCGGAACAAAGGTGCAATCTTTATGAACGATCTGACTAAGGAACATTTTTCACGGTCAATATTTTAACGAGGACATCATGACTGGTGGGTGAAACTGTTCGATTTGAAAAGTGCAAACACACGCGTCTGGACAAAGATATATCAGCGAATACGACATTGAACGAAAACTTACTGACGAGCTTTACTAAATCTGGAAGGATTTGCAGAAGTAAAGAATTTTCTGCACCATACGGCTTAATTGTGTCCCTGAAGAAAACGGAAAAAAATATCAATAAGCTGTTTTTGTTCAACATTAACTGTTGTATACTAGTTTCCATAGTAGTTGCAATGATAATAATGATAATTGTATCGTAGGAGTGAACCAAAACCTGTGTGGCGGATACTAACGCTGAGCACTGAGGTGCAGAAAGGGGTGTCAAATGTGTAGTGCACACACTTTCAAACGGCATGCATCTAATTAAAGTCCGATGAGAAAGATTCGGTCGGTTTATCGAACGAGGAACATAAATCGATCACATTCACACACACTGCCTTCTCGTTAAAAAGGTATTTATCTTGAACGGAGAGTGGAGAGAGAATCTCCGGGGCTATAAACCAAGTTGATAAGCTACGAGTGGCGAAGCACATCAAATAGTGCCTAAACTACCGGTTATTAAGTGAATTGGATACGANTTGTCGTATTCACAGGTTTATGAACCAACCAATGGAATACCGGTCCAGGATGAATCGCGGTTTAAAAGTACTATTCCACTGCCCGAGATCCGAGGTGAGATCCATGAATTCAACCACATATTATGTATTAGGCAGATGAGTAGTAAAACAATTCATCGCAAAAAAATGATTATGAAAACAAAGAAGAACGCTCTATAAGCGTTCATTTTCATTCGTACATTATTGTTAGTGTTGATGCCCAGCCTGTTCCAAAACTAAAGAGTAGCCCACGATTGAACGAACATTTTATCCAAGTAGATATGGGATTTCGGGGATAGTAAATTCAGTTCAGTTCAGTTTAAACAATCATTAAGTATGTATTTTCCTGAGTCACTTTTGGTTGCTATCTTTTAACTGCCCATTTGGTTGAACATTAGGAGGAAAACAGAAAGCTTGAAAGTAGGATCGAAGAGAAAATTGAGAAATTCAGTGGACTAACGAGGTCCCCAGTCAGGGAGCCTAACGGGACTCATGTGACCCACTCTCCTGGTTAGGGTTTTCATACCATCATGCCAAGTCTTAGCTTGGCCACCCTTGGCTTTTTTCAACCGCTACCTGCTTCGGCGAACATCGCTCGCCTTGGCAACCTATTTGGTGACATGCGTAACACATGTCCCAACCAGCGTAATCTATGGAGGTCTACCACCTGTTCCAGTGGGCGACAGCGGTTACCCAAAACTCTGTGCCTAACCTCAGCATTGCTCATCTGGCTGCCCCACCACACTCGTGCAATGCTACGTAGACAGTGGTGTTCAAACACCGACAGTCTGTCTTTATCCTGTTCCCATAATGGCCAAGTCTCTGCACCGTAAAGTAGAACTGGCCAAACTGCTGCAGAATATACTCGACCCTTCACAGACAACCGGATGTCGCGACGGCGCCACAGATGTCTCAAGTTAGCAAATGCCAAATGAGCTTTCTGTGTGCGCGCCGACACTTCATCTGTGATGCATCCGCCAGGTGAGATATAGCTGCCCGGGTAGCAAAACTTGTCTACTTTCTCTACAGCTTCCTCTTCGATCAGAGTACCTCACTAGTACGGTCACACATCACATAAGAGAGAAAATGTGTCAACTCTACAGTTGACAAAATAGAAATTTGTACACGTCACCAAAAAACCTTGAAGATGCAAGAACTACATAAAGACCCACCGATACATGAAATCGCGGGTAAGACAAAAACTCAGAGCTCATGACGAATGAAGGAGCTGAAGAGTTGTGACCAAAGTACAGTTGTAGGTAACTAAGCGGTCTGAGAACCAGCGCGTTTAGATAAAATGGATTATAACTGTTAGCCAAGGTCTAATCTGCATAGATTGCACTGAACGCTTAAACCGATTTTTTTATTAACACATACTTTCGTGTGATGAACAGCAGATGGGGTAAACCCCATAGTCACGAAGGCCTGCTGTTCAGTGATGAAAACCGGTAATCTAAGCCCCGGGACTTGGAGTGGTGAACCACATAAGGCCCCGATAGGATAGGCGTGGTATTGAACCGGACGACAGCAAAGCTGCCTACCCCCAAAGTTGGGTGGCGGTGATCAGGCTCGAACCTCGGACCATAGGGTCGAAAGCACGCTTGTGACAGCAACTAAACCACCGCCGAAACATATATTAATAATAATTGAAAAGGTGAACCAATAAACCTTTCTTCCTATCCTATATCTACGGTTCTCGACGGAAGCAATGACGAAGCAGAAACTCTAAGGTAGAGGTGTAAACGCTCAGTTGACAAGCGTATCAAGCTGATCCATCGGGTATTTCTTCGGTGATTCCAATATTTTGCGTAATTTTTGTACTCAACAGTGAACGAATATGAGAGAAACAAAACCTTCTGTTGATGCACCCAAAAAGCTGGACACTGCTGACAACTATACCACATTAAAGAATTAAACTTGAATAAGTCACTTACTTTAGACCTTGATCGCTAGCAAGGCAAAAAAAGTAACGCCCCGCTTTGATCAGAAGAATCAGAGGGCCATCGTAATCGAACGCAAGTTCCTTAATCCTGAAGTGAAAGAGAAAAAGCACATTTCCCTGAATTGGATGGGATTGACTGGAAGCAAGCAGGACAGCAACCACTCACATATTACGAGTAAACCGCAAAAAAAACTGTTGATCTACCAAGGGAAAATGGTACATAATAAGGTTGATGTTGAGAAACTCTTCCGCGAGTGCAAGGTTCTATAAACGTATCGCATGTAAATATTTCTGTGAAATGGCGTTATTGATAAAGGAATCGGAAGCACAAACATCGGAATGAAAGGTGAGGAATTAGTGTAACTATAACAATTAAATGACAGTCCAAGGTTGAGCTTTGGAGCTATCTACTTTTTGGCGACCGTTTGTATTCCATGTTGAATTACAGCGAGTTCATGCTTCACGCCTTTAATCGATTTCATTTAAGAACAGTTCTGTAAAAGACGATCGAGTTGAAAGTTAATTGGTATAGAGAATAACTTAAACTATCTTGGCCTCCCAAGTGCATCTTGACACCATTCAATTATCACAAGCATCTGAATGAAACGTTCGGCTGGAGCAAAACGGGCACAATGGGAGAGTGAAATAACATATCTATGGAACATCCTTCAAGAAAAGATGCTGTCAGAAAACATCCCGACCAATTCAGAGAAGCCTAATTGTGCTTCATGCTTGTACTCAAAGATCCGCCTGTATACAGTAAACAATCGACAAGCAACAAGTTCTGCTTGCCGTTTATTGTGATACTGAAAAGGTTTATTTCTCTACGAAGACGATCTATCCCCTTATCTTACAAACAGATGATGACTGAAAAACAATTTTTCAGGCATTTAATCGCTTACCTTAGTGTCGTCAACACTGGCATTAGAGTTGAACAAACAACTATAAGAATAAATAAATACCGTCCGACAGTTATGAGGATTGGCTTAGCTTTACTTTGGAGATGACGAGATTTTTGAGAAGTTAGCCAGTTATAAATGAAACGCTTGNCGATTCCCAAGAAAGTTGACAAAGTCTTATGAAAACCAGGGATGAATTAAATCGATTAACATCGCCTCAAAGCTTCCGGTTGGCATTAAACGCTATCGATTGTATCGTACGTCAAGAGTGCACGCTTGCGAATCAGGTTGGCTTAAGACAGGTTGGAAGAAGCATGCGCGGGATTTTTCCCATTCGCCAAATTACGAGTAGAAGAGATTCCCTCCATAAACGCACAATATATATTCTCCCTGATGTTCAGTTGTTCGCCGAGCTTGGCAATTGTGATGCAAACGCTTTATCACCAATCGAGGTGACATTCTCAATGCAGTAACTGGATTGAGAATGTAACTTTAATCGGTGATGAAATGTTTGCAATACAATTGCCAAGCTCGGCGAATAACTGAACATCAAGCTATACTACCCGAGCTACAAAAACAACAGTCAACAGCGTTGTTTACAAAACTGTCATATATTTTCCCTGATTGAAAAACTGATTACGAATCCGTAAATCGCATTACCCCTGGACCTGTCTCTCCTTAGGGGGCTATAAGAGAAGCGTACATCGCTCCGAACAGCTGTATTCGAGCTCACGGGCTCTTTAACACTCACGTTCACCAAGAAAAGTGGTGTTCGTAGGAGTTTCTCCCCTTATCCTTACAACTTTATAACGGAAATGATTCCAAAAACGGTCGTCTACCAGCTTCCAAGAAGCAACTATTTAATCGAGGATAAGCAAACGACAATGTACTGCTGAGCGAATATTTAGGTAAGCTGCCAGAATTTCTGCATGGTATGGAGGTTAATGTGCGGCATTCGTTATGGTGGTGATGGCTCAGTGGTTTAGTCGCTGTCAAAGGTATACTTTCGACCCTATGATCTGAGGTTCGAGCCGCGCCACCGCCACCGCCACACAACTTTGGTGGTAGGCAGCTTTACTGACTCCCGGTTCTATACCACGCCTGATCTAACTGGGCCCTATGTGGTTTGCTACTCCAAGTCCCGTGACTTGGGATACCGTTTACCATCACCGAACAGCAGGTTTTCGTAACTATGGGGTCCACCCCAGTCGCTGTTCATCACACACTGGTGTGATACAAAAATCTCCGAAGTGCCAAACTTTGGGACAGAACTGGTTTGGTTTGACTCCTAAAATAATTTTAACGGGAATATCAATGCAAGACAAACATTTTTTTATTGGGCGATCGAATGAAGTGTCTGCACACCAAGGAAATACCGAGTAGTGTCTACCAACTTGAAAAACTTTAGTGTACCGCGACATGAGGCTACCCATGAAAGACGGAGTTTATGATGCAGCTGATCAACCGGTTATCCAGGCCGTTGGGAAAAGTATAAAGATAGGTGTCCCAGTTAAATGGCTTTGCTCAGTGGAAGACTATCTGACACTAAACCAAATTGTATGAACTCATCGTAACTCACACGATGCTCGCACCATCAGCGTTGATGTTGCGCAGAAACTGGTGGTAAAAGACTGTTAGTCGTTTGACATGATCTCCTCGGAGGAGATAAATTTCGTAGCTGTAGAGCAATACGGAGTGTAGTGTCACACCGTACACTCGCCCTATCAATGAATGTGACGTCAGGGCGGCATCAGAGATGTTACAGGTTAGCAAACCTTAAAAGCAACGCAATCCGGTTAGCCTTCATGTGTTTGGGAATTTATAGGGGTTAAACTCGCTAGCGCATTGAATTGAGACTTGTAGGCATCTCAGGCTAGGACATGTATTGTGTATGCCCAGCGGTCATCTGTCGTGCCGCGCTTTATTCGCTGTACCCACCTTAGGCTGGAGGAGACCACGTAGAGGTCAACAGATGACGCGGAGAAATGCACAGAGCCATTAGGTGGAGTAGGTGTTTCATGCCTTCCAAGGTGGGGTCTGGAAAACCCTATAACTGGTTGGTTGGAGGCAATGAAGTATATGGCAGCGGACCCACAGCAGCGGCGATCTTGTTGTCATTTCTTTTCAGCTCAGAATGCTTGAAATGGTATGTATGCACAGCTAGATTGTGTACTCTGTGTTAACCATAGAGGTTCACCTTTCTTCCTCTCCCTCAAAATAGGTCTAATCCCTGTCCGCCTTATATATTACTACTAACTCAATATGCACTGACAGTTTGGAAGCGATCAGTGAAGTTCGCTTCACTGTATTTCACAGAACGGTGATGAAGTTCTTGATGAATCCTAACCTTGCTTTGATTACGTGTTAAGAGATCTGCTCGCCCACAGCCGTGATGACAAAGCTCTCAACCACTTCCAGGTTGTCGTTATCCAACGGAGATGCAGAACACCAATCTTGCAGTAACACCTTGCATACCATAACGAGCAACCACAATTGACAAGCGTGCTTTAAATCTCCGGCATACTCTAAGTTCAAGGATCTGTCTCCAGGAGGAATCTTAACGCCAACGTTTGTTACTTTAAGTAACGCTTTTTGCAGAACAACGTCGATGGCGAAGAAATGGCAACCCTGTTGTTCCCTACTGTTGACAGGAAACGAGGGTGAGAGTTCACAATAGTCTATAACCTCCGAGGTTTGACAATAGAGAGCTTTTAGAAGCGGAACATATCTTAGCAAACAAGTCCCCAGTGCAGATCGATCGACGGAGTCGAAGGCCACTCTGATGTCCAAAAACACGATAACAGTTTGTCACCTGTGTTCCAGTAGCTGACAAAAAGTGAAGATTTGATCCATGCAACCACAGCATGCACGAAACCCGACTTGCTCTTCGCGGATTTGTCCCTTATGAATCGGAGTCAATCTGCGCAATAAAACGGACGCTAATAGCTTCGGTGCCATTGGAATCAGGCTCGTTATAATGGGGGTGGAAGACATTGCGACAACCCATTTTTGTAACTGGATGTAACAGTCGATTCTCCCCATAAGTGGCTACAGTTTCGGATTCTCAGATCTTCGAGAGCAGCCTGTACAGCTCTCTCACGAGGACTTCTGTATTATCTTCAAGGTGGTCCGGTGGCGGGTTGACTGATTCAGACGCCTTGTGGCGTGTCAGTGTTTGAAGTTCCTTTTGGAGTTCTGCATTTATGGGGTGTTCCGTGAATAGTGACCATTGAGCACTCTCAAGATAAGTACT